TAGACTCCCACACAATAAGAGTGGGAGACTTCAACATTAATATTAGACAGATCAATGAGACAGAAAATTAACAACGATATCCAGGACTTGAACTCAGATCTGGAACAAGTAAACATAATTAACATTTATAGAACTCTCCACTTTAAATACACAAAATATACACTCTTATCAGTACCACATCATATCAACTTAGAAGTTTAAACGAAATGTTGGTTGGCTCCTTGTTTGTTATTCTCTTCCCTCATTTTCTTTTATGTCTCCATTATTAAGGACAATTATAGGCATACCTATATTTAGACTGCATTCTAGCCCGGGCAATAAAGCAATACCCCTATTCTCTCTCCCTCTTCCTCTTTCTTCCTCTTCTTTATTCTTTTTCTTATTATTCTTTTTTTCTTTCTCAAAAAAAAAAAAATAAAGTGCAAAACAGAACTACCAATATCCAGCAGCGGAATTATATATATACCTGTGTATATATATATGTACGTATATATATACACACATATATATACACACGTGTATATATATACACACACATATATATACACATGTGTATATATATACACATATATATATACACACATACATATATTTTTGAGATCAAGTCTTGCTCTTTTCGCCAAGGCTGGAGTGCAATGGTGCTATTTCGGCTCACTGTAACCTCTGCCTCCCAGGTTCCAGTGATTCTCCTGCCTCAGCCTCCTGAGTAGCTGGGATTACAGGCACCTGCCTTTGGGACCCCAGCTAATTTTTGTATTTTTAGTAGAGATGAGGTTTCACCATGTTGGCCAGGCTGGTCTTAAACTCCTGACCTCATGTGATCCACCCACCTCAGCCTCCCAAAGTGCTGAGATTACAAGGGTGAGCCACTGCACTCGACTGAAAGTAGATTTTTTTAAAGCCCTAACATAGTTTAGATCACTCTGTGATCTCGAAAAAAAAAAAAAAGTTAAGCCTAAACGAAGTCTTAATATTTATCGTATGAATAGTCTATTCAAAGAAATCTGTTTCTCAAAAATAATTTCCTTTTGCAAAATCCCTCCTCCCTTTCTACCACAAGAATATGCTTAATAAGATAAAATGTCCATGAGCTTGCCAGGTAGTTTCCAGTCTGGCAATCTACCTATCTTCTGGTACAGGGATCATGTTTCATATTCAGTTAACTGTTTTACCAAATAGAATGGTTAATGCTATCCTATTTTGATGTGTCTATTAGATCTAGAGCAGGGGTCCCAAGCCCCAGGCCACAGACTGGTACCAGTCCATGCTCTGTTAGGAACCCAGCCATACAGCAGGAAGTGAGTGGTAGGTGAGTATTGCCCCCTGAGCTCTGCCTCCTGACAGATCAGCTGTGGCATTAGATTCTCATAGGACGGAGAGCCCTATTGTGAACTGTACCCGGGTGCTCCTTAGGGAACTCTATGCCTGATGATGTGAGGTGGAACAGTTTCATCTTGAAACCATCCCTCCTACTCCATCCGTGGAAAAATTGTCTTCCATGAAACTAGTCCCTGATGCCAAAAAGGTTGGGTATCACTGATCCAGGGAGTCCTGTATATATACTATTATTTACTTCATTCCAAGGCTTACTATAACCCTAGCCCTACAAGGTAAATACATGGCAGCAATCACACAATATAGGGGAACTATAAGTAACTTAGTTCAAAATCTTCACCATTATGAGGAGGAAATAAAACACCTCAAAGTATACAGTATACTGTAGTGGGTCTGTGACATCAATTATTATTGCATTTTTAAGTATATTTGACCTGACTGCACTAAAGGACTGTTTTATTTTTTTGAGACAGGGTCTGACCTTGTCACTCAGGCTGGAGTTCAGTTGCGTGATGGCTCACTGCAACCTCTGCCTCCTAGGCTCAAGCAATCTTCCCACCTCAGCCTGCTGAGTAGCTGAGCCTACACACACGTGCCACCACGCCCAGCTAATTTTTGTATTTTTTGTGGAGATGAACCTTCTCCACTTTGGCCAGGCTGGTTTCAAACCCCTGAGCTCAAGTGATCTGCCTACCTCAGCTTCCCAAAGTGCTGGGATTATAGGCATAAGCCACCATGCCTGGGCCGCAAAGCTTATAGAGGACTCAGAGCTACAGGCAGAGTTCTGAACCTCTTTTCTTCTAGTCCTACAGTGGCTACAGGGAGTGGACATTTCTTTTTTTTCTTTTCTTTTTTGAGACAGAGTTTTGCTCTTGTTCCCCAGGCTGGAGTGCAATGGTGCAATCTTGGGTCACTGGCACCTCTGCCTCCTGGGTTCAAATGATTCTCCTGCCTCAGCCTCCTAAGTAGCTGGGATTACAGGCATGCACCACCACACCTGGCTAATTTTGTATTTTTAGTAGAGATGGGGTTTCTCCATATTGGTCAGGCTGGTCTCGAACTCCTGACCTCAGGTGGTCCACCTGCCTCAGCCTCCCAAAGTGCTGGTATTACAGGTGTGAGTCACCATGCCTGGCCTGGCACTGGACATTTCTGTTGAGGAAAATATTCAGCCGGGCGCGGTGGCTCAAGCCTGTAATCCCAGCACTTTGGGAGGCCGAGGCGGGTGGATCACGAGGTCGAGAGATCGAGACCATCCTAGTCAACATGGTGAAACCCCGTCTCTACCAAAAATACAAAAAAAAAAATTAGCTGGGCATGGTAGTGCGTGCCTGTAATCCCAGCTACTCAGGAGGCTGAGGCAGGAGAATTGCCTGAGCCCAGGAGGCGGAGGTTGCGGTGAGCCGAGATCGCGCCATTGCACTCCAGCCGGGGTAACAAGGGCGAAACTCCGTCTCAAAAAAAAAAAAAGAAAAAAAAAAAAAAAAAAATCCATGTGGCATAAACAGCCAAGCTCTTAACTATGCCCTTCTCTTAAAAATTCTAACTATGCCCTTCTTTTAAAAATTCCTCCTAGGCTGGGTGCAGTGGCTTATGCCTATAATCCCAGCACTTTGGGAGGCTGAGGCAGGAGGATCACTTGAGCCCAGGAGTTCAAGACCAGCCTGGGCAACATAGTGAGGCCCTGTCTCTACAAAAAAAATCAAATTACACTGGGCGCAGTGGCTCACACTTGTAATCACAGCACTTTGGGAAGCCAAGGTGGATGGATCAGGAAGTCAGGATTCCAAGCCTGGCCAAGATGGTGAAACCCCATCTCTAATAAAAATAAAATTAGCTGGATGTGGTGGCACATGCCTATGATCCCAGCTACTACTCGGGAGGCTGAGGCAGATCATTGCTTAAACCCGAGAGGTGGAGGCTGCAGTGAGCCAAGATCATGCCACTGCACTCCAGCCTAGTCGACAGAGCAAGACATTGTCTCAAAAAAAAAAAATCAAATTAGGTTGGCGTAGTGGCACGCACGTGTAGTCCCAGCTACTCAGGAGGCTAAGGTGGGAGGATCAATTGAGCCCTGGAGGTCAAGGCTACAATGAGCCATGATCACACATTGCAATCCAATCTAAGAAACAAAGTAAGATTCAATAAAGTGGGAGACTTCCACACAAGTGAAAGTGAAACAAGTACTTCTACTGTCCTTTCATCATTTCTGACCAGTTTTAGATTATCAACAAACGAGCTCACTGATTTTGCAGACATTCTTACGTTTTGAATATGTTTCACGTAATTTTTGTTTTGACAGAGTCTCGCTCTGTTGCCCAGGCTGGAGTACAGTGGTATGATCTTGGCTCATTGTAACCTCCGCCTCGTGGGTTCAAACAGTTCTCCTGCCTCAGCCTCCCGAGTAGCTGGGGCTATAGGTGCATGGCAACACACCTGGCTAATTTTTTGTATTTTTTAGTAGAAACAAGAGTTTCACCATGTTAGCCAGGATAGTCTTGATCTCCCGACCTCATGAACTGTGTGCCTCAGCCTCCCAAAGTACTGGGATTACAGCTATGAGCCACAGTGCCTGGCCTGGTTCATATAATTTATTAAAGAATCATTTCCTTTTTAAGTAATTTTTTGGCTCAGCTAATATCTTAGCTGTACCTACCTTTGCACATTTTGCTTTCTTATTTGTACTTAAATAATCTAAGTATACTTGTAAAAATGTAAATGTTAGATTGTTCACTGATAGGCACCAATATCTTTAACAGAAATGGTTAATTCAAACAAATGTCAGGCTAAACTGACAAGAGAAATAAAACTAGGAAGGAAATAAAACACATTCATTTTCTTGTGTAGTTGTTAAATTGCTACATATACCTAGTTCTGTGTGTCTAGATATGCTGTATTGACTATACTTTTGAGAGCCCTCCAAATGTTACTTATTTTTTTTTTTTTGAGATAGAGTTTCACTCTGTCCTGCAGGCTGAGGTGCAGTGGTGTGATCTTAGCTCACTGTAACCTCTGCCTCCCAGGATCAAGTGATTCTCCTGCCTCAGCATCCTGAGTAGCTGGGATTACAGGTGCCCACCACCACACCCAGGTAATTTTTTTATTTTTAGTAGAGACGGGGTTTTGCCACGTTGGCCAGGGTAATCTTGAACTCCTGACTGCAAGTGATCCAACCACCTCGGCCTCTGAAAGTGCCTGGGATTACAGGTATAAGCTACCCACCCCAGCCAACATTTCTAGATTTTAGCAGTTGCATAAATCCTACTCCAAGAGGCTTAATTGTCCCTATCACAATTCAAATGACATTCAAAAATGTAAAATGATCAATTTAAAAAAAAAAATTACTCCTACCCACTTCCTTTTTTTGAGACGGAGTCACACTCTGTCACCCAGGCTGGAGTGCAGTGGTGTGATCTCAGCTCACTGCAACCTCCACCTCCTGGGTTTAAGCAATTCTCCGGCTTCAGCCTCTCAAGCAGCTTGAACTACAGGCACATGGCCCGGCTAATTTTTTGTATTTTTTTGTGGAGACAGAGGTTCACCATGTTGCCCAGGCTGGTCTCAATCTCCTGAGCTCAGGCAATCCGCCCGCCTCAGCTTCCCAAAGAGCTGGGATTTCAGGTGCCCGGCCTCACTTCCTCTTTCATACAGTTATCAGTTCTTACCTATTTCAACCATCAATACGATTGTATTCAAGATGATGAGGAAGATGATGAAGTTTGTGAAAAGAGGACCTGTTGTCTCTTAAGGAAACACAGAGTGGAGTTCTTTCTGATTTATGCAGCTGAAATAATAAGGGCAATAACATAAGTGAGAATGAGAAAAAGGAGTTTGGGGAGCAAAAAATAAGTCATTAGGCAGATGATGAACAGCCAGGATAAAAATAAGTGACATGAAGGATACACTCAAGGACCCATCCGGCCCACAAAGAAAGAGGTGGCCTCTGACTACAGCGAATATGAAGCTTGCTCAGTAGCCTCTGGGCTTGTGAAATCTGTCCTGTATGTTGAGGCTTTACTGAGAAGCGCACTAGCTGTTGTTGATCTTCCCACATAAGTTTCTTCTGGCGAGAGGGATCTACAATAAAATTAAAAAGGGATAGTGGATAAATATAAATAGAGCAGATAGGTTTGGGAGCAGGGATATTGGTCAGATAATGAGTCCCCCCTAGTGCCTTAATGCTGCTCCTTCTCTTCTGGCAGCAACTAAGAATTCTGCTGGTTTGGAGTGAGTGCAAATGTAATGCTTATGACCAACACTGTCCTTACCCAGAAAAGCAGCAGGTTCACTCTCAAAGTTTTAAATGTCTTTGGTAGAAACTTTTCAAAATCACCCAAGGCTAGTGGCTATGCTAGGTCTAAAAGTGAAAGACATGGATCCTATCTCTTCGGTTTTATTTACAGGCCCTTGACTGACCAAGTTTGGTAAACCAGCAACCAAACCGACCTCCTCAGAATTTTCCACTCTTAAATGTAGAAAATGTGGATGGAAGTCTTAAATTTAAATGAGTGAAGAAATAGGCTGCTGACCAAGTAACTCCCTGACAGTGTGCCGCGGCACAGCTTGGCTCAAGCCTTGCAAATGCTCGATGAGAGAGAAAGTATCGATGAGACGTGAACGAATGGCATCAGCTCGGGGCAGCTGCATCTGCCCTTCTTGGTGATAAGTGGCCATGTCTGCTAAGAAAATGGAAGAATCAAATGTCATTTCATTGTTGGAGCAGCACCAAGGATTACAGGTTTCCTGTCCCCTCCTCCCCTCCCTCTTTTCACTTAAGATTCCTTAAGTGAAAGATTCCACATTTAGGAACTAGGAGGAGCTAGGAAGATCATTGTTCTAAGACTCTGGGTTTTTTGAAACAAAAGGGGCCAAGAGTGGTAAAGATTTTGCGCAGTCGACAAAGTGGCCAGGCATCTTCACTTTGTGATGGCATTTCTAATTAAAAACTCATTTAATAAAATAAAATAAACACACACACACATACATAAAAAAGGAGCAGCCACAGGGCAAGAGCCCGGGGCTGGAAATAGAAGAATCTGAGCTTCACCTGGGCCTGAGAGAACCCCGCAATGAAATGAGGCTGCGGGAGGGCTTAGCCCGCCCCCGAAAGAGAAACCAGGTGAAGAGGAACTGGACAAAATGCAAAAGCCTGACATTTTGAAAAGAGGTCTAGTCCCAAGTATGTTCACCCCAACACTCCCTCAGGGGCGAGTTCCTTCTCCCCTCAATTTTCTCTTCTGGGCCTCACCTCAGCCCAGGTTCTCTTCGCCCACTCAGTCCTCACTTCACGCTTCCGCCTCCAGCTCTGAGCAAAGCTCCCTCCACGCAGGACGAGCTCAGGGTCGGCTCCCAGCCTCACTGCGCCCCATTCCCAGCTCCAGCCTGCCCCGACCGACCCCCCACGTTCGGATTCGCCCCGGGTCCAGCCCTCGCCCCTGGGCCCAGCCCAGGAACCGGCCTAGCCACGCTCGCCCAGGTCCTCGCCGCCTCCGCCCCGCCCCACGCTCCGGCCACTCGGCGGTTACCAGCTGGTCCCGCCCGCACGACGCAGGCGCAGCGCAGCCAATCGGTGGCTGCCACACAGCGGCCCGAGCCGGGCTAGGGGGTTGGGACCTCCGGCTGCAGGTCCGCCTGGGCCAGACGCGCGAGCGCAGACAGCCGCTGTGTGGACGCGCGCACGACCTCCACAGTCCCAGCCGAGCCCCGACTCTCCCGGCCGCCCCCACCTCACCTTGCCGCCATGCGCCTCCGCCGCCCAGCGCTGTTGTCGGGCGTGGCGCTGCTTCTCGCTGCTGCCGGCCTAGCCGCTGCCTCCGACGTGCTGGAACTCACGGACGACAACTTCGAGAGTCGCGTCTCTGACACGGGGTCTGCGGGCCTCATGCTTGTCGAGTTCTTCGCCCCCTGGTGAGGCCACTCTGCCGGGGCGGGGGGAAGAAGGGCTGAGCTGGGCCGGGGGCGAGGGCGCGGGGAACGGTTGGGCCTACGCAGTGCCGGCGCCCGTCCCCATTTCTGTGGGTCCCGGCTGCGGCCGGCACATTGCTCATTCCCGGGGAGCTGGAGGCGCCTCCCGGGAGCGGGGGAGTCGGTGCTGATAGGCGGGAGAAAAACCCGGAGGCTGCGCTCACGCAGGGCCACATCCTTATCTCCGTGTTCTTGCCGCACTTCCTATTTGCAGAGGGTTTAGCCACCCCTTCCCCCACTTCAATATGTAGCTCTATCCTTTCTGCGTGAGTCAGTATTAATATTCTCCAGTCTACAGACTAGACATTCCAAAACCTTGCAGTGGAAGCGGCCGTTTCACCAAACGGCTGTGTCCTGGATCCCTAGGGTGTTTTTCTTCCCTCTTAACCCACGCCGCACAGCCGTTGGTTTCTAGCCAAGGTCACTAAGTGGCTGCAGAATGGCCATTAAGTGTTTTCTTGAGGCAGGTAATTTGTCCGTCACATGGTGTTCAATTTCTCCCTTCAGCGGATCACTTGCATCTTAGCACCGCCAGACACCTCTGTCAAAAAGAAAAGAGGAGGCGAACAAGAATAATTCCATCAGAATCTGTCCAAGTTGTCCATTTTAATTAGGATTTCTTTAAAATGACAAAAAAGACTCCAATGAGAAAGCAACCAATGTTAATTAAATACTCTAGGGTGACTTAAGTGAACAAGGGTGTAAATTCCTTAGCTAGAACTAACTCGAAATTAAAAAAAAAAAAGTTGGGGAGAAGGAAGGGCAAATAGGTTTCTGGCCCAGTCAACTTGAGTGTTTTTTTTTTTTTTTTTTTTTTTAAACCTCCACATCTCTGGAACTCATGCCCGGCCGTAGTAAATGATGATTATTTTAACCTTGGGATAGCTCAATATAAATATATATAATTACAGTGCTTAATTTTTCCCCTCCTGGCACAGTGACCCTTGGTTTAAAACTGTGTTCAAAATGGTCAGTAAAAGTTAGTGTATACTTTTATTTGCTTTAGTCTCAGGTCTTCACTTCTTGGCCTCAACCAGCTTGCTGGGGGTTACAAGGAAAAAAAAAGCCCTGCAGTAAAGACCACGTGAATCAAAATGATGTGCTAAAGATGGCATATTTTGTTTTCAGCTTGGGCAGGTTTTGTGTCCATGGCATTTCTGGGGCTAACTGGCAGTACAGATTACACATATAGATAGTTCTTTTTTTTTTTTTTTTTTTTTTTTTTTGAGGCGGAGTTTCGCTCTTGTTACCCAGGCTGGAGTGCAATCGCGCGATCTCGGCTCACCGCAACCTCCGCCTCCTGGGTTCAGGCAATTCTCCTGCCTCAGCCTCCTGAGTAGCTGGGATTACAGGCACGCGCCACCATGCCCAGCTAATTTTTTGTATTTTTAGTAGAGACGGGTTTCACCATGTTGACCAGGATGGTCTCGATCTCTTGACCTTGTGATCCACCCGCCTCGGCCTCCCAAAGTGCTGGGATTACAGGCTTGAGCCACCGCGCCCGGACCTAGCTAGTTCTTAAACATCTCTGGAACTCATGTTTTCTCTTAGGATCAACTCTTCCCAATTATATAATCATGCTGTTAGCTTTGAGGGGGTGTCACTAAATTTGTAAAAGCTGGGGTTTCACTCAGTTTGTCAAATCTGAGTGATGCTTTTTACTACAGTGATGTTTTTGCAACAATTTAAAGTAGGGATTGTTTGCCACTGGAATATTAAAGAAGAATTATTGGCCCAGGTGCTATGGCTCACACCTGTAATCCCAGCATTTTGGGTGGTCGAAGCGAGAGGATCACCTGAGGTCGGGAGTTTGAGACCACCCTGACCAACATAGAGAAACTCCCATCTTTACTAAAAATATATAATTAGCTGGGCGTGGTAGTGCATGCCTGTAATCCCAGCAATGGCGAAATCTTGGCTAACTGCAACCTCCACCTCCCAGGTACAAGCAATTCTCCTGTCTCAGCCTCCCAAGTAACTCAGATTATAGATAGGCGCTACCACGCCTGGCTGTTTTTTTTTGTTTGTTTGTTTGTTTTTTAATTTAGTAGAGACTGGGTTTGACCATGTTAGTCAGGCTGGTGGTGAACTCCTGACCTCAGGTGATCCACTTGCCTCAGCCTCCCGAAGTGCTGGGATTACAAGTGTGAGCCACCATGCCCGGCCTCAGTATTTTTATTTCTTAACATTTCAGCTGGAAGTATTTCCTGACCTCTATATTCCTTTGTGCAGTTCATGAGTTCTATCTTACAAGAAACAGAGTAAGAGTAAATGGGGTTGGGCCTTGGGATGTACACTTGTAATCCCAGCAGTTTGGAAGGCCAAGGCAGGCAGATCACTTGTGGTCAGGAGTTCAAGACCAGCCTGACCAACATGGCGAAACCCCATCTCCACTAAGTCCAGTTAATTTTTAAATTAAAAATTAGCATATCTGTAATCCCAGCTACTTGGGAGGCTGAGATGGGAAAATAGCTTGAACCTGGGAGGCAGAGGTTGCAGTGGTGTGATTAGAGACCAGCCTAGGCAGCATGGCCAGACCCTTTCTTTACCAAAAAAGGACAAAACTTAGCTGGGCATGGTGGTCCACACCTGTAGTCCCAGCTACTCAGGAGGCTGAGAGGCAGAGGTTGCAGGGAGCTGAGACTGTACCACTGCACTCCAGCCTAAGTGACAGTGTGAGACCCTGTCTCAAAAAAGAAAGTAAAATATACCTATTTTAAGCTAGTTCTTTTTCCACTTTGATGTTTCAAGTGAAAGTGAAAGTGAAAGCTTTTTTTTTTTTTTTTTTTTTTTTTTTTAATACAGTCTTGCTGTTTCCCCGGGCTGGAGTACAGTGGCGAGATCTCGGCTCACTGTACTCTGCCTCCCGGGGTTCAAGCGATTCTCCTGCCTTAGCCTCGCTGGCAGCTGGGATTACAGGCATGTACCACCATGCCTAGCTAATTTTTGTATCCTTTTTTTTTTTTTTTTTTTTGTAGTAGAGATGAGGTTTCACCATGGTGGCCAGGCTGGTCTTGAATTCTTGACCTCAGCTGATTCACCCGCTTCAGCCTCCCAAAGTGCTGGGATTACAGGCGTGAACCACTGCACGCAGTATAGTGAAAGCTTTCTTTGCAGTTGACTTTGTAGACTAATATTTCTGTTATTCATTATGGAGTTAATTGTGTGTGTGTGTGTGTGTGTGTGTGTGTGTGTGTGTGTTTTGAGACCGAGTCTCTTTCTTTTTTTTTTTTTTTTTTTTTTTTGTTTTGAGGCAGATCTTTGTCTTGATCTTGGCTCACTGAGGCCTCTACCTCCCAGGTTCCCATGATTCTCCCGCCTCAGCCTCCTGAGTAGCTGGGATTACAGTTGCACAGCACCACACCCGGCTAATTTTTTATATTTTTAGTAGAGACGTGGTTTCACTATATTGGCCAGACTAGTCTCGAGCTCCTGACCTTGTGATCCACCCACCTCAGCCTCCCAAAGTGCTGGGATTACAGGCATGAGCTACTGTAGCTGGCAGAATCGTTTCCCATGAATTTCTCTGGGAAAATAACACTATTTAAATGTTTGAAACTTTCTGAAAATGTATTGATCAGTGTTAACATTTAATATTAAGTTCTCAACATCTGTTTATGCTGTAAGATTTGTGTGTTACCCTCTAAGACAGTAGTAATAAATAGCATTGGCCGGGCACAGTGGCTGATGCCTGTAGTCCCAGCCCTTTGGGAAGCCAAGGTGGGCAGATTATGAGGTTCGGAATTCAAGACCACCCTGGCCAACATGGTGAAATCCCGTCTCTACTAAAAATACAAAAATTACCTGGGCATAGTGGTGAACACCTGTAATCCTATCTACTCAGGAGGCTGTGGCAGAACTGCTTGAATCTGCGAGGCGGAGGTTGCAGTGAGCTGAGATCGCACCACTGCACTCCAGCCTGGGTGACAGAGCAAGTCTCCCATCTCAAAAAAAAAAAATAATATTTATGCTGGTTTCTTGTAATCCCCACCCCCACCCCCTAATTGATCTTTTCAACATCAACATTTAGCTCAAAAATTTTTTTTCCTTCTGTGGACAACAAACTGGTTGATCCTGCCTCTCTGTTGGCATCTAATAATCTCTGTCACCCCTGCCAGATAGGTATTCCTATAAGGAAAGGACTATATCAATTTTCTTATCAAAGTCTTAAAAAGCACTTGACTCATGGTATGCCTGAAGTGATGATTATTGGGTGAATGTATGTTGGAATTCATGATCAACTGCCAGGTGCCATCCTTGAGGGTAGATGGGATT